TCTTGCCCTCATCTTCTCTATGCTGCAGAGGACATTCTACTTGTGTGCCAACATAGCCATCATGTTTTCTCCCCAAATTCACTGGATGATACAGGATTTCTTTTTCTTGGGATGAGTATTCTAGCCACCTCTAGGAGGTTTAAACTAACATGAGCTCTGAAGTCCTCTGCTTAGTGTTGAAGACCTGAGGATGTAGCAAACATGTTCTGCTGCAATAAAACTAAATTTGAGGACTCTTCTATGAAGAAGCTGCTGGCCGTGTTGTACTGGACCAGTAGAAGTATATAATCTGGTATCCACACATCATGTTCCCTGTACAAGCAATTTTTTAATGATTACTTACAGGTGATGTTTCAGAGCATCAATTAGACTTCTTCATCAACCAAAGGTGATGATAGACACAACGCTATCCATCACAGTTTGTCCAGCACCCTTTTATTTGAAGAGCTTTCTCAGTTTATTAAAATACGAAACCACCAGATCCTGGATCAAGAGCCACCAGTTTGCAGTATCTTCTGAAACCCTGAAATTCAGTATGTCAAGGAATTGGCCCTGGCATTTTGTGACTCAGTCACTGTAGCGGCTACACCACACTCGGTGTTTACATGCACTGTTCAACCTTGCTGCCTCTGTGATGTGACGCTAGACCCCCAACTCACAGGCTGACACTGAAGACTCTTCAGAGACTGTTTACTGAGTTATTACAGCAGCATTCCCTGGGCATTTTATTATGCCACAATATTGGTAAGGACAGGCGGCCTTCACCTCAGGACTTTTTTTGTTTATGTAATGTAGCACTGGGCTTGGTTCTTTAAATGTTTGCCCAGCAGTCCTGACATAAGAACAGAAAGGACTTTTTTTTTTTTTTCTCTCTTCTCTCCTATGATGGATAGCTGCAGGGAGAGGGGGGGGGGCTGGGCTGTGCCCTGACTGGCTGTTGCTACAGCAAAAAGGGACCTGCGCCTAATAACCCTGGGGAAGAAGGACTTCTGATTGGCTGCCTGAGCCAGGCTGGCTCCCGAATGGCTGTGGAATGTTTTTAGCCTCAACACCACTGGGAAAAGCAGTGCTCTTGCTCAGTCCAAAATGTTAATAATATTCAAACCTGAATATATTTAAGAAAGTAAAAATGAGGTGTTGGCTTTCTTGGGAGAATATTTATGTGTGCACAGTTATTGGGCAACTGTTTGGCTCCATGCACACTAGTGTCTTTTTTAAGCTCATAAAACACTGGATAAAAAAAAAAAAATGCTGGTAATAGCGGTATTTTCATAGCGTTTAGGAGCGTTAGCATTTTATTAGCGTTTTTACAGTACATGTAGAAAAGAGCTAGAGAAAAACGGTTAGGCGCGTTTTAGTAGCAATTTGTGTTTTTTTTTTCTGCTGGAAAAATGCTGCAAAAAACTCTACAAAAGCAATTTTTTGTTCCTGCTTCTAGACACTGAAGCTCAAAAAATGCTAATAGCCTAAAGCAGGGTGCATGAACACATAGGATTTGCGGGCCATGTAATTTAAGGCCTTTACTAGCTAGCCATACAGTGGAGTACTTGGATACATGTGATGGAACATTGTCCTGCATAAATATCATGGTCTTCTTGAAAGATGCAGACTTTTTCCTGTACCACTGCTTGAAGAAAGTGTCTTCTAAAACCTGATAGTAGTTTTCAGAGTTGATTTTGAGTCCATCTTCAACCGGAAAAAGGTTCAACTAGCTCATCTTTAATAATACCAGCCAATACCAGTACTCCACCTCCACCTTGCTGGCGTCTGAGATGAAATGAAGCTCTGTGCCCGTTACTGATCCAGCCAAAGGCCCATCCATCTAGTCCGCCAAGAGTCGCTCTCATATCATCAGTCCATAAAACCTTTGAAAAAATCTCTTCAGATATTTCTTAGCCCAGTCTTGACATTTCAACCTATGTCTTGTTCAGCGGTGGTCGCATTTGAGCCTCCCTTACATTGGCCATCTCTCTGAACACTGAACATCTTGTACTTCTAGGCACTCCAATTAGGGTAATGGGTTCCTGGTATCTTCACGTTTGATTCTTCTCAAGTCTTTGGCAGTTAATTTGCGTGCGTTTTTTTTCTCAACATGTTTCTTGCAACCCTGCTGACTATTTGCAACAAAACGTTTGATGGTTCTGTGTTGGCTCCCCAATATCTTAGCAATTTCAAGAGTGCTGCATTCCTCTGAAAGACTTTTTACAATTTTTTACTTTTCAGAGTCAGTTAAATCTCCCTTTTTGGCCCATTTTGTCTGAGGAAAAGAAGCTGCCTAATAATTATGCATACCTTGATATAGGGTGTTGATCTCCTTAGGCCACACCCTTCCTCATTGCACAAAGACACATCACCTGATATGCCTAAATCCAATAAGAATTAAAGTTTATACAGCTTGGAGTTGGACAATATGCATAAAAATCATGATTTGGTCAAAATACCCACTTGCCTATTCATTGTCCACACAGTGTATGTGTGTATATATACAATATTGCCAAACGTATTGGAACACCCCTCCAAATCAGTCAGGCATTCCAATCACCTCCGTGGCCAGAGGTGTATAAAATCAAGCACCCTGGCATGCAGACTGCTTCTACAAACATTTGTGAAAGAATGGGTCGCTCTTAGGAGCTCAGTGAATTCAAGTGTGGTACTGTGATAGGTTGCCACCTGGACAATAATTCTATCCTTGAAATTTCCTTGCTATTAAATATTCCACAGTCAACTGTTAGTGGTATTATAACGTAGTGGAAGCGACTGGGAGCAACAGTAACTCAGCCATGAAGTGGTAGGCCACGTAAAATGACAGAGCAGGATCAGAGCATGCTGAAGAACACAGTACGCAGAAGTTGCCAACTGTCTGCAGAGTCAACATCTAAAGACCTCCAAACTTTGTGTGTCCTTCAGATTAGCACAACAACAGTGCATAGAGCACTTCATGGAATGGGTTCCTATGACTGAGCAGCTGCATCCAAGCCTTGCATCACCAGGTGCAATGCAAAGTGTCAGATGCAGTGGTGTAAAGCACACCACCACTGGATTCTAGAGTAGTGGAGACCTGCTGTCTGGAGTGATGAATCACGCTTCTGTCTAGCAATCTGATGGACGTATCTGGGTTTAGCGGTTGCCAGGAGAACGGTACTTGCCTGGCTGCATTGTGCCAAGTGTAAAGTTTGGTGGAGGGGGGGAATTATGGTATGGGGGTTGTTTTTCAAGGGTTGGGCTTGGCCCTTAGTTCCAGTGAAGGGAGCTCTTAAGGCGTCAGCATACCAAGTTATTTTAGACAATTTCATGCTCCCGACTTTGTGGGAACATTTTGGGGATGGCCCCTTCCTGTTTTAACAAGACTGCGCACCAGTGTAAAAAGCAAGGTCCATAAAGACATGGATGAGGTAGTTTGGGATGGATGAACTTGACTGGTCTGCACAGAGTCCTGACCTCAACCTGATAGAACACCTTTGGGATGAATTGGACGAGAAGGCCTGGCTCGCAGTCTCCGCTCTGACATCAGTGTCTGACCTCACAAATGCGCTTCTGGAAGAATTATCAAACCTTCCTATAGACACATTCCTAAACCTTGTGGACAGCCTTGCCAGAAGAGTTGAAGATGTCATAGCTGCAAAGGGTGGGCCAACTCAACATTGAACCCTACACGTGTGTGTATGTATATATAATAGAGAACAGATAAGTAAAAAAAAAAAAAAAAACTATTTCCGCTGTTTTTTCGGGGACATGGGATCCATTCTACATGTAGGACACCTTAAAATAGTCCCAAAAAAGTGCCTACTGGAAACGCCTATAGTGTTTTTTTTTTTTTTTTTTAATAAATTGCAAAGATTTCAAAAAGAACTTTTCACATTGTCATTATGGGGTATTGATTGTAGAATGTTGAGGAAAAAAAAGTTAATTTACTCCATTTAGGGATAAGGCTGTAACATAACATGTGGAAAAAGTTAAACGCTGTGAATACTTTCTGGATGTGCTGTGTTTGTGTGTGTTTGTGTGTGTGCTTGTGTGTGTGTGCTTGTGTGTGTATGTGTGCTGCAACTGCATCACATGCAAAACTGTGTGCAGGGACAAGGCTTTGGGCTACTGCTGTGCTGAGCATTACTATCTGCAGTGAGGGAAGAGCACCTGTACCTCCATTCCAGTTTGTTCCAGTTGCTCACAGTGACCACATGTTCTAGCTACCTGACAAAGCTAGTCCATGTTTTTTTGTACCAGTTGTTTTCTAGACAGATGTAGTGAATGAACAGTGATGCCCTGTGAATTCTATCACTTTACAAGGTGCCTACCTTGCTGTATTGTAAACTGCTATCCTTTTCTTTCCTTGTTGTTAAATAAAGCCCATTTGAACCTTCAAGGTCTGTGTCAGTGTTCTCAGGTCCAGGAAAGGGGCAGGTCATCACAAGTGCAGGGCAGAAGTGAGCCAGTACAATTCAGCAGCCCCTTCGGGGTGAGTGCTACAGGTGTTTCCAGCAGGCACATTTTGGGACTATTTTAAGGTTTCCTACATGTAGAATGGATCCCATGTCCCCCAATAAACACTGGCAGAAAATAGTATTTTTTTTTTTTTTACTTATCTTTTCTCTATTATTTCTTTGGGGGAAATAGCTCCTTGTGTGTTTTATCCTTATGACTGTTTGCCTTTTGCCAAAGTTGTTCTTGGAAATAATTCATTATGTTACTACAGTTTTATCAGTGCTAGCTAACTCTGCGCTTGTAAAGCCACTAAGGTGGTGGCGGCTATAAATACACAGGAGAATGGATCCTTTGTCCTGCAATGAACTAGTAGAGAGATTTTTCTAAAGTCCAGGGGCTACCTTGTAGACTTTAGAGGGAAAACATGTATGCATTAAATGCAAGAACCTATATGATATGATAAAGGCAGAAATAATCGTTTGGCTGTGCTGCCTTGCTCATTTAACAGTACTTCTAGTAATACCATTACTTGCAATACCAAGTAAATAAGTATAACCCTTTATTCTTATGCTCCTAAGGTATGGAATATGCCCTGAAAATATACTGCTTTATGGACAGAGTATTGGCACTGTACCAACAGTGGACTTGGCATCTCGTTATGAATGTGCAGCTGTCATCTTACACTCCCCGCTGACCTCTGGGATGAGAGTCGCATTTCCAGACACTAAGAAAACGTACTGTTTTGATGCATTTCCCAAGTAAGTGTCTCACAAAGTCATCTTAATGATATGGTTTATAGTCCTCTTAAGGTGGAGCAATGGCAAAATAAAATATAAGATGCAGTCTGTCAAAAGCATTAAAACAGCAATCATTGTTTTTCTGAGTCCCCCAGTAACCTAGCTGTGTTACCTGTTGGTCCTGTCAGTAAAACTGACCATACATGGATTCCTCCACCCACACAATATAGCTGTCCCCATCAGTCTCGGCTGAATCTGATTAGATGCAGTTGCTGTTCATAGGAACATTTTCCAGTAAGCTCTTCGACTAAAGTTGATCAAATTATCAACTTTTGACAAAGGAAGCATGGCCACATGCTGAGCCAATTTCAGCCAGTTTCTAAGGAATTGTCAGAGATTCGCACAGTGTATGGCAAAGAGCAAAGAGCACCGGCAGTGGACCTGAGAAGTGGAGGATCAGGGCTGCTTTGTGTAAAACCATTGCACAGAGCAGGTATGTATACCATGTTTGTTATTTTAAAAAAATTCCTTTACAATAGCTTTAAGCCTGTTATTTTTCAACTTACGCTGGGGTGCGTACAAAGGTCAGATTTTACTCATTTAGCTAAAACCTTTATCCCAAAAGGAAATAAAATGTTTCTGTAACTACTTAAAGTATTACCTGGGCTTTATTTTGTTTGTCACCTATGTAAGTCCATCTAAAACTACTAGTCCTTCTAACATTACCTTCTTGATAGGTTAATAATGCTGTTGGTCAAAAATGGCTACATTGCTCCTTCCACACTAAAGCAGGTAGAATATTACTGGTTGAGTCTCCAGGTGAAAATAAAGGTTCCCCACCCTCAAAAGAATAATGCAGCCAATTTAAGGATTATTAAACTGCAATATATTTTGTAATATTTTAGTCGTACAATACAGGACACAGTCTGGCGTATTCATAGACCCAAGTCTTCACTAATTCTTCTTCCCAATGAAGGGGCACCCTCACACCTAAGACTGGAGGGATGTCTTGTTAGAATTTGCTTCTCTCTGGGTCACAGACATCCCAGACCTGTGAGTTCAGTCCGTAATTTCAAAGGGATATGAAATATCAAAACTCCATCTCCTCACCGCTTTCTTCTCTCAATTCAACCAAACTCTACCCAAGGATAGTCAGATTTTCAGAAAGCCCCAAAAACTACCTTGTCCAAGAAGTTGGTGTGGCAGATTCTATGCAAGGCAGGTTCAAAGGATTCTATTCAAATCTAATTCCAAAATTTCACATTGAATCTGCAAGGTCAGATATTGCCTTTCTAAAACTTGGGGGATATTTGGTGTCCTTAGACATCCATGATGCCTATCTGCATATTCCTATATATCCACCTCTATGCTTTGTAGTAGGAGACAATCACTTCCAGTTTGTTGCACTACCATTTGGCCTAACCACTGCCTCCAAACAAGTTACCTCTGTTTTTGCCCAGGACCAAGGATCCTTTAGCACTGGCACTGGATGCCATGCTGATTCCATGGCTTCAGTTCAGGCTAATCTATGCTTTCCATCTATTGCAAATTCTACCTGCCCTGCTCCACAAAACACAAAATAAGAAGCTGGTGATTCTCATTGCACCAAACTGGCTCAGAAGAACCTGGTAACACAGACATACTCTTCGAGATGACCCCTCACCTCTCCTCAACATGCTAAACCTGTTGTCTCAGGACCATCTATCCCATTCTGGTTTTTAGTCACTGGCTTTAATGGCTTGGCTGTTGAAGACCAGGTCTTAAGGGACAGAGGGGTCTCTGATTCTGTCATTTCTAATTTGCTAAAAGCAAGAAAAGCCACTTCCAGAAAGATTTATTTGGGTGTATTTCTATGCCTGGTATGAGCAGGTTGTATTCATTCCTACAATCAGACTAGAACTTGGCCTTATGCACTCTGAAAGGGCAGGTTTTGACCTTGTTCATTCTTTTTCAAAAGCCTGTGGCCTCGCTGTCCCTTGTCATAACCATTAATCAAGGTGTAGCTCCAATCAGTCTCCCTTACAGTACCTCGTGCTTCCTAGGGACCTCAATCTGGTTCTCTCTGCCCTCCAGAAACTGTCCCTTGAACCCTTCAGGGAAATCCCCTTAGATGATCTCTCTGGCAAAGTGGCCTAGCTGGTTGCTATTATGACTATATGACATGTCTCTAAATCGGCATCTCTCTCTTCTAAGGAGCCTTTCCTTATTCTTCGCAAAGACAACGTAGTCTTAAATTAATATATCAGTCAACCACACCACAGGGATTTATAATCAGCGCAGCAGCTGTCTTAAAAGAAAGTATGTGAAACTCTGTTACCCTAAACGACTAACAATAGTAGCACTAGCTCTGATTATCTCCTAACCAATTATATAAATTATTGTGTGGAAGTGTCAAAAAAGTAATATACTCAAGACCATCTTTTCTTCCTAAAGTGGTATCAGTCTTCCACCTCAAAGAAAACATAGTCTTGGCTTCCTGGTGCCCTGCTTCCAAGCACCAAAGGAAATTGCTGTTCACTGCCTAGGCGTAGTCTGAGCTATCAGTCTAACTTCAAGCAACAGCTTCTATCAAGAAGATGTACCCTCTGTTCTTCCTATCCTTAGAACCATATAAGGGACATCCTACTTCCAAGTTCACCACCGCTAGATGTATAAGGCAGAGCTTACGCTATAAAGGAAAAAGCTACTTTTGCCCTTTTACTGCTCATGCCAACAGGTTGGTGGGTGTTTCTTGGGCATTCCCGCGCCAGACCTCTGTTGCCCAGCTTTGTAAGGTAGATGTCCAATCGTCTGTGAATGAAGCATTCAGCCGCAAGGTTCTTGCTGCAGCACTCTGAAGTTGGGTCGGTTGGTTTACCCATTTTTGTTGTTGGCACAGTTCTGTTTGCCTAGTTGTTGCCCACCCTTCTCATTCATTGCTTGGGGTATCCCACGGTCTATGGATACTCAGCCTGTGTCCTGTACTATGTAATTAAGGTAAGGAGTTTTGACTTGTCTGTAAATTCCATATCTTGAAGTAAAGTACAGGCCACCCTCTCTTCTATTCTTGAGTTACTTTACATTGCTTGATACAGAACTGAGGACTTACAGAGTAGAGTGGGGTTATAAGAGGGACGACCAGGGGGAATGTCCTTTAAAAGCTTTAAAGTGTCCAATCACCACAACTTAACATCCTCTAACCCAGGGTCTATGAATACTCGGGGTATCCCTTCCACAATGTATTTGTGTTCTGACAACGGAGAGCGCTGGAGCCTTCCCTGCTGGCAGAACACAATGATTAGTGTTGTCAGTTATAGTTGGTGGCAATAAAGCGTTAGTAAACCACAGCTTGAAGAACTTACCTTAAAACAAAACCCTCCAGCGACGCACTGTCCTCGCTACAGAGGCTTCCATCTTCACCCAGTCTTCCTTCCGAGGCTCACGAGTTTCAGCCGTTTGGCCAGGCCGCAATGATGTCACTCTCGTGCTTGCGCACTGGAGTCTCGGGCCACGGCACAGTGCTCTGAAGGAACAACATGGGTATACATTCCTTCAGAGCGCAAATGCGCCAGCTGTCAAAAAGCGCAAATATCTCCTAAACGGTGCAGGAGATATTCATTTGTACAGATATAAAAGTGGGTTTACTTCCACTTGTGTTCAACCATGGTGCCCATACATGTATCGAAATTATGAACCAGCCAAATCTTGATCAATGGCCAGCTTAATCCATTTATGTATCTCATGAAGCCTGACTGTAAAACTCCCAGGATGCTGCTAAGAGAGGCTCAGCTCCTACTGCTCACCTTCACCACTGCAGGAGTTAGCTCTCAACAGTGAGCTCAGAGCTACTGCATCAGAGGAGAGAAAGCATATGTGAGCGGTTTTGAATTGGAGAAAGAGCTCACTTTTGTGATGGAAGTGGTGAGCAGCAATGACTAGGCGTTAATAGCAACATCCTGGGGGTTTTCCAGTTAGGCTTCATGTAAACAAAGGATGTGCCAAGAGCGCATGCCCTGCATGCTTCTGTCCCATTTACAGGCACGGTAGGGAGCTTTCCAATCGTGACAGCCAATCAAAGCAATCACCTGACCCTAAACCCCACCCCACTTCCCAGTGTCAGACACATGGCCGGGAGGCGAAGGGGTTAACAGAATGCATAGAAAATCAGGTTTTTTTTTTTTTGGGGGGGGGGGGGTTTCATAGTCTGACACAATCCAACATGGTGATGCTGATGTGGTTGTATGAGGGTCTGTAAAACTATTCTATAGTGGCCCAGAAGTTATCACTTAACTTGTGTGATCATTATTAGTGAGGATAAGTGCATACTGGGTTCTCTTTTACCATTAATCACAATTTGGCTCGATTATAGAGTGTGATATTCAAACTGTTGTCCTGGCGATGTCCCCTGGCAATAGGTTGCATGTCCTTACCGCTCTAAAAGTAAAGAACCTCTTAAGCAATGTAGGATTAAACTGCTTTTCTTTTACAAAGAATTTTATTATAGAATAGGTAACAGCAGAGAATCAGTCGAAAACAGATGCATTAACCTACAGGAATAAAACATACAAGGTATTCGATGAGTGATACAGAATATGTACTGATGCAAAGACATGAGAATAAACTGCGTACAGAGGTGCCAGACATATATAAAAAAAACAAAAATAACAATAAGTTGCAAAAATGGTAGACATTTAGAGATCAATGACATAATAAACTCTAAGGAAAAATTGTCAGTATATCAGCATACAGAAGGCAGGGAAGATGGGAGATGGAGCCTCTCTGAATGCGGATACATACTCCACATGCAGGGCTCTTGAAGGAGTCCAGCATATGGATATAGTACTGCTGGTACGGCACTCAAAGCAAAAATCACAATCAGCACAAATAGCATAAAAACAGACTAAACAAAAGGAAAGAGAGGAACGAAGAAAAAGAAGACAAGACAAAAAAAAGGGCTCCAGGGGGACCGCAGTAGAAAAAAAAAAGAAAAATAAACTGATATGTAAATTTTATATCGACAAAAGGGACTGGTCGAATCTCCA